CTGTGCTTGTGGCAAAAATTAAACAGAGTCAAAATACTCTTAATAACCCTTAAAATTTCCCGTGAAACACAGATATAGACATACTGTCTTTCAAGATGTTTAAATTGGCTTGTTCTTCCTCTAGCATGACTTTTCTTTCGTTGAACAAATGATGAGGCTGTTATATTCTTTTTAGTGACAAAGGGTAGAATTGGAAGAACTATTTTTTATTCTGGTTGTAAAACTGAATTTTATGAGTTCCATGAGTAAAAATGCCGCTTGATTTTTATTTTTTATTATTTTTTATTTTTTTTTAGATGGAGTTTTGCTCTTGTTGTATAAGCTGGAGAGCAATTCTCCTGCCTCAGCCTCCTGAGTGGCTAGGATTACAGGCACTATAATTATAGCCTGGCTAATTTTTTTATTTTTAGTAGTGATGGGTTTCATTAGGTTGACCAGGCTGGTCTCAAACTCCTGACCTCAGGTAATCCACCTGCCTTGGCCTCCCGAAGTGCTGGGTTTACAGGCATGAGGCACTGTGCCCAGCCAGATTTTTTTTTAATGGGTAAATGAGAAAAGGCCATTGTTTTCCAAATTAATCTTTGAGTAATAAGGACGTTCAAGAGACCAGTTTTTCTCAGAAAGGCTTATTCTCTTTTACATGGTGTGACTTATGCCTCTTTGTAGCTCCAGCTTTCCTGTATTTTTGTCTGTTGTCTTTCCATTCTGATTCTACTCTGCTTTGTTGCCTGACAGGCGCCTTTCTCAGATTCTTAGATTTGTTTCTCTGTATCTTTGTTTCCATACTCACCTGTACTTCTCCTGTGCTCTGTATTTTTCTTGTTCTACTCAGAAACAGTAGAATAATCAAATTCAAATTCAGTTATGATACTTTATATTAAAAGGTAGCTTAGGATAGTGGCAAGTACCCTGAAGTATAGTCTAAGACATGGTTTAGGTTCAGGCTCTTATGGTAACTGTGTAACTGAGAAAGACATTTCATTCATTTTCTGAAACTTAATTTTCTTACTTATAAAAGAGAGGAAATAGATTTCTTTCTCTCTCTCTCTCTTTTTTTTTTTTTTAAT